TTCTTTTGTTATTTGTTTTTCTATATTTTTGTTGTGTTTCTTGTAATACTACTCAGTTGATGATAAGAAAAGATAAAATAACTATGAGAATACGTAAAAAGAATAAATGATGAACATACCTCTAATTTGGTTATTTTCATCATGAGAAATGATTGGTTCAGTTGGTTCATGAATTGGATACCAAAAGGAGAGTGAGTTTGGAAAGAAAAAACAGACATTCATAAAAAGAAAAGAAGGTAAAAGAAAAGAAAGATATATAATTTAATCAAAACCAAATAAAGTAATACTTGAATCAGTAGAAGAAACAGCCGTATTGAATCCGAATTGAGTGATAGCCATATTAACTACTGGATTAATTCTATGACCAAAGAAACCATCATAATATTTAATTTCTTGAATCATTTTACCTGATTCACTATTATATGACCTAATAAATTGTTCAGCACTTCCACAAACAAAATATGTAGCAGTGGGATGTGTTACTAATGTAGTAAGTTTGGGGACATAAAGTTTTCTTATTTGACTAGCACGAATATCAATTAACCCAGCTAATGATGGTTCATTAAGTCTAGCAACAGCTCCTGCAATAATTGTATTTCCTGAACTTGGTCTTGATGTAGTAATAATTGGTGAATGTGAAATTTTCCATGTTTTTACTTCTCTTTCTTGTGGAGATAATCTCATATCATATAATGTCACTTTTCCATTAACATTTCCTACAAGAAACATATGATCACTAAATTCATTATATTCATTAACACATGTAATTGATGTTTTCATTCTAATGTTTGCTTCTAATTCTTCTTTTTCTAAATCCCATATTCTTATCATAGAATTTCCTGCAGTTAATAATCGACTCTCACCTAATCCAACTACTTTTGCTCCAATATCTGGTAAACATTCTTCCATAACACCTTTAAAACTACTTACAAGTACATTACTTCCACTATCTTCCCAATTTCTCCAGATTCTTATTGCTCCATCATTACTTGATGTAACTAACATTGGAATATCTGTTTTATTTATCCATGTCATTCCACTTATACTTTTATTTCCTGAATTGAAATTATTCCATGCATTGACAACACTTTCACTGTTAGTATCAAATACTCTTATTGTTGACCCTTTATTACTTCCTACAACTAATAATGGTAATGTCGGATGAAATATCATATTCCCCGCATTAAATTCATGTCCTTCTTCTCCAATAAACCTCCCTATTTGTTTTAATTTATGATTTTCAAAGTCACTTCCTATAAGTGTAAATTGTGTTCGACTTTCAACATACTTTTCTTTAAACCATTTTCTTTGTGGTGTAATTTCTTTTCTCTTTTTTAATAATGGTTGTGATAATTCATATACTCTTGATTCATATAACTTATTTACAATAGTATTTAATCCATTAATTCTTCTTTGTGGGGTTATTGTTCTTCCTTCTTCTTTGTTTGTATATATCTCTAGTATTTCATTTAAGATTTCCGCTGCTCCATTGACATCAGTATCAGGATCTTCCTTTCCGATTTCAACCGTTTGTTCAAATATTTTAGATTCTTTAACTGTCCCAACTAACACTTTTGCTAATCTTTGGTATAAAACAATTAAATGTTCTCTTACTTTAGGACATGCATCATGAACTAAAACTGCTGTTTTTAATGCAATCTCATTACATGCTTCTCCAATGTCAGCATATGGCTCTCCAATTAATGTAGTTAAGCAATTTAATAATGCTACTCTTACTCTTGGATTTGGATCTTGTAAAAGTAACATTAATGAATTAATAATTCCTTTCTTTTGTGCTCTTATTTTAATTTCAACACTTCCTTCCCATAATTTACTTAAACATAATAATGCCCATGATCTTACTTCAATATTTTCACTTTTAAAATAAAAATGAATAACTTCTATAATATTTGATTGAACTAATGTTGCTTTAACTTGTGTATTGTCTTCTAATAATGTAGTTAAAATAAATAATGCATATGCATTTGTTCCTGTATTTAAATTTTTTGTATTATTTTTTAACACATTTAAAAAGTAGATTTGATGATTTTCTCTAATAAGGTTTTGATGAAATGTTTTCTTTTTATCAACAACAAGTATTTTCATCCAACAAAACACTAAATATTCATAAAAATCTACACTTGTTGTGGAACTTAATAATTTTAATATATATGGAAAGATTCCTACTGCTAATGCTTGATCACATGCCCATGGTCCTAAATCTAAAAATCGACATAATAACTTTAATGCTCTTTCTCTTAATGTTTGTGATAATAATACTTGTAACAAAATTGGAAGTTGTGCTGCAATACAATTAGCAATATTATCAGATTCTAACCATACTTCAAATGCAACTAATTGTTCATCAAAAAATGATGATGTACTTTCATTAAAACTATTACAATGATTATTAATTTGTAATAAACATAATTCAAGTGCTCTATCCCAAACTACCCATAAATAATGATTAGATGCATCTGGTAAAATTGGATATGATATAGGTTTACACTTCAGTGATTGCATTACTCTTTGTGCTAAGAAGAAATTTCTATATAATGATGCTATTAATAAATCTTGTCGAAATAATTTATAAAATAATGGTCGTGGTAATACATTCCATGCTATGGAGTCTGTTATTGCTGTGAATATCCAATTTAATTCTCCTAATGGTGTTCTCCTATTATTTAATACCCCTGGAATTCTATCTATTATTGTTGCATCCCATTTCATTAATAACGAATTTTGAATATAATATAATACTGCAACTCTTAATGGGGTTGTTAAACATGATGTAAATAAATCAGCTGGATAAAATGGATTTGTTGGTAACATTTCATCATCTTGACATGATCCAAGAAACATATAATTTTCCCCATTTTTGTTTTTATTTTTCTTTTGCTTACTTTGTGCATATTTTTTACACCACGTAATAATTCTTCCTGCACAACTACAATCAAATATGTATATACTTGGTGTTCCTATCGTTTGTAATAATTCATAGATTTGAAGTGGAATATATTGTGTAAATTCTTTATCAAAAAACCATATCTCCCCATTTAATGTTGGTAATGGTACTCCATGTCCATTATA